GGTTTCATGTTTCAAGAATCGGATTTTTTTTTTTCTTTTTTCCTATCTGTTCTTAATCCCATTGCCTCAAGTCAGCCACTTGAATCATCTCCTCTCTCTAGCCACGTTGTTCCTCCGTCTTTTTGAGTGGTGGAAGTCACCAGGAGCCATTGCTGTCTGCAGCACTGAGGCTCTTTTATCAGTCCCTGGAAAAATACTTCTGGGGTCTGACAGCTCCCAGGGCTTATGCTTGCCACTTCATTTCTTCAAGATGAAAAAAACCACTCTGGATGTGTCTGAGCTGGCTCCTTCAGCCTCCCTGCTCTTATGGTGATACATGCGTGGGAGCTCGCTCCCTGCCTGGGGTGCTGTCCTGCCTGGGAGGGATGTCCTGGATCTCCCTCTGATGTTCACCTGCTGCAGATTGCCAGCGTGTTTCCCCCCGGGGCTGCAGAGCCCCTGCTGCCATGCGAGCTGACTGGCAGCTCTCGTTGACAGCTCTGTTAAGGTTGGCCAGGTGCCATTTGCATTTCTTTTAGCAACCTGTCATTTTTTGACAGTTCCCTTACGAACGTTTTCAGTCCCACTGGCCCGTTCTCCCTCTGAGCTGCCTCTCCAGAGATGCCGGGGAGGGGGAGAGCAGTGGGAGGCACGGGGTCACACCAGAGGGACACAGCTCGCAATGCCCGGCCAGGCAGGCTGCAAGATCCCTTGGGCCTTTTTTTTCATCTTTATATTTTTGTTTAGGGCACTTGGTTTCAAACATGACCAAGGAGAGTGCTGGGCAGTGGTGGTCCTCATGGTAAACTTATTAATTGGTAATTTTGAAGTAGTTGGTATGTAGCCAATTACTTGTAATGTCAGGAGTTTGGGGAGCCCGGGGAGTTTGGGAGCCAAATCCCTGTGGTGTCTGTCAGAGTTCAGCCTTTTGTGTCTGCTGGCTTCCATTTTCTGTGAAGGATCTGGTCTGCTTCAGCCCTCCAAGGGACAGGAGCACAGGGAGCATTTGGCATTAATGTGAAGTGCCCTTCTCCAGCATTAAAAATCATCCACCTGCACCTCCAAAACTGTCCCGGGGCCTCTGCATCCCCTGTGAAAAGCCCGCTGGGAGCAGAGGGCAGGTCTTGCTCTGGCAAGGTTGTCCTGCTGGGAACTCCTCCTGCTCCATATCGTGGGCTTGCTGCAGCGTGGGCCTGCAGGTTCATGGTGCTAGGGCAGGGGAGCTGGGTGGCTGGGAGAGGAGGGATGAGGGGCTATGTGTCTCTTTTAATCCCAAAAGTAGGATTTTGAGTGTATTTGCGTGACCCTGAAAGCTCTGTAGCCCTCCTCTGCACCCTAGTAGGACAGATGCCGTGAGCTGCATCTCAAGGATTTCAGAAGCACGGGAATGAATTTCGGCTATGCTCCCTGGACCTGTGGCTCAAATGAAGCTAAGGAGGGTTCAGCCCCGCTGATTTCTCCTTCTTCCAAAGCTCAGCTTGGCCCGTTGCCTTCAGGCATCAGACCTAGCTGCGGGGTTTGACGTGACACGTGTGCAGCAACATGGGCTGGAGCGGAGGGTCTCGGGTTGGGAGGGGGGCAGGGTAAGGCATCCTTTCTGGAGGGAGGGGAACCGCTGGTTCCTGGGTTTCACCGAGTCAGCTAGTTCCCTCCATGGTGCAGACCCTGCCGCTGGCCCGGGAAGGGCTGTAAATATTTAGATAGCTCTGCCTGTTGGTTTTGGCCAAGGTCCCAGCCCACATGATGGGGTTGCAGAACCCCCCTCCTGGATCTGGCTGCCTGCTGCCTCCCTGCCATCTGCTCGGCTCTCCCACCCCTCGAGGAAACGGCGGAGTGGGATCCAAGTGGTGGTGGTGGCCCCCCCCGTTCCCGGCGATGCTCTCCGTGGGGGCATGTCCCCAAGGCAGCGCCAGCTGCTCACTATTACCATGGAAAAGGCCTGCTGGTGGTTTCTCTGTGTTATTTCTTTGAAGGACCGTAGAAATCGAAGCTGGAGAAGACCCATGAAATAACTGTTTCCACATGCCCTCACCCACACAGCTGGGCTGGGAAAAAGCCCGTCCTTGGAGCAACCTCTGCAGGACCGAGGGTTGTGGGAGCAGGGGATGGGGTGGCTCCTAGCAGGACAAAATGGGGTTTGTTTGGGCTCCTGCTTCACGGTGGGTGCTCCTGGCAGGACATGGTGCAGTGCCAGGCTAGGAGGTGAAACTTCAGACCAAGTGCAATGTTTTCAAAACTGTCTTGATCGTTCAAAGTGTCTTCCAAAAGCACCTGAGAAAGATGGGTGGGTACCTGTGGGAGCTTGGTACCTCATCATCCCTGGTCTCTGTGAAAACGATCGCTGGGTGACTGACTGCACTGTTAGTCCCTTTCAAAATCTGCCCTTTTGATGTCAGTTGAGGAGAGCACCTGAGTTATGCTTTCTGCTGTCTTTTTGGTCCCTAGGACAGCAGGGACTGAATTAGGTATTGACAGAGACCGAGATCTGAGATGGTTTTGGCCAACAGAATACCTCGGTGGGATGGGGCCGTCAGAGCAAAGGGCAAGGGATATTCACAAGGAGAGAGGAAGCCAGCTTTACTGAGGCAGTGTTTTTATAGATATTGAAGAGCTCCCATTCCTGTGGGCTTCTCAATCTTTTTTGCTTTCTACAAGTAGGTGAGGAGATACCCCTGGAGACCTTTCTGCTGTTCAAATGGGATGTGCAAGAAACTGTTATCCAGACTCCAGGGAGATCTGCATTTCAGCAAAATAGGAGTGAGCTCATCGGTTGGGAGAAATACTCCTTCCCTTAACTGCAAAGGTTATAATAAAGCATGGTGTGCCCTCAAATCTCATGGCTTTATTACCCTTAAGAGCTTTGAATTCATTTTGGCTTGAGCAAATCCACATCCTGATTAAAATCCCAGTCTAATAAGCTGTTGACTCCAAATAAAGGCAGGGATAGGAATAAACAACGAAGAAAAGTTGGCTCTTCCTCCTGCCCCAGTGGAAGGCTTTCTCCAGGCAGGCAGCCAGCAGTGATATAACTCTATAAAGTGCTGTAGACTGGTAAGAAAGCTGGGATATCAGCTGAGCTTCCAACCAAAATGAGCTCATGCTGGCCTGCCGGCAAGTCCTGGGGTGAGGGTAAAAGCAGCTTGGATGCTTGTTAAGTTTCAAGTTAACGCTTAGTTTGCTGATGATATGATGGTGACTGTACAGATGCTGTTGGATATTTCAGAGGCCGCGTCATGCAACTTGACCAGTTTTCATTGCAAACTGTGGTCAGCCAAGTTGCCTGTTGAGGTCTAGAAGCACGTTCTTGAATAGGTATCACACCTGACTCAATGCAGAGTACTTGTCAAGCCGCGTTTGGTGATAAGTATGCACGGTGTCTCGGCCTCCCTTGTAGCAAATCATGGTCCATCCAGGTCTCCACAGCTGCTACAGATGCTGTCTTGCAGGAGCCCTCTGTCTTCCTTGACATATTCCTGTTAATATGCAGAAAGTGCAGGTCCTTCAGCGCAAAAGAAGAATTTGCGCATGAAAGGAGAGGATTGTGGTTAGCTGAATAAGGCCTGTGAGGCAATGCTGAGCGATTCAGGTTTTGTCTGGGAGAGGTTGGTGGTGCCTGTGGTACCCAGCCAGCTCACTGCAAGTCAGCAAAGCAGTTGCAGCAGTGTTTGGGCTAATCATCTGGTTTAAGAAGAGTGGTCATTGAATTTCTGTGTTGAAAGTACTGAAGTTCTTTATTTTAGCAGTAAGAACTTGCTTCATCTTGCTGCCTCGTTTTCTGTCTTAATTTGGAACTGATTCTACTGGGAAGAGTTTGTGGTTCTTCAGGAGTCTCCTCACCTTGGTAGGTCATGCTGTGCCAGCCCTCTGAGCAGCAGAACGACCTTTCAGTTAGATTTTTACTATGGTGTTTGAGCAGGTTTGAGGTAAAATAATTTAGCATTGTGCTATCCCTTTGTGTCTCCTGGTGTCTGAGTTTGGCTGTTGGGCTGGGACCAGCAGGTCACATTCCAGCATCTGGAAAAATGTGTCAGCATCCTAAGAGTCTTCACTCTTTGTTATGTTAGTGGAAGTTCTAGCATTAACCTGAACTGAATGTTTTGCTCCTGCTTCGCTGAATCAATTCTTGAATTTGTGGTGGAAATAAGCAGGACATGAGAGTTAGAAGAAAGGATGAAAGTGTCCTCGCTCTGCTTAGTCAATCTGTTATCAGTTAGTGAGGGTTTGCATCACTTGAGTGTTATGCTGGCATCTTGTCAAGGGTCATCTTTGGTTTCTGTGAGAACAAGCAAGGACATATTAGACAAGTGATTGGCTGATTCTGTTATTTGCTTGTTGTCTTTCGTAGAAGAATAAAAAAACTGGGTTGGTTTTTTGGTTTGGGTTTTTTTTTTGTATTCATCACCAGTAAAAGCCTGGTCATATGGTCTGTGAATAAGCTGCAATTACTGGGATTGATTGTGTAGCATTTGAAGGAACAGGACGGTAATTTGCACCCCAGCAAGTTAAGTAAACAAACCTCAGCGTTGCTTACGGAAGAACAGACAGAGTTTTGAACCTTGCGGGTTTGAGTTCTTGCAAGCCCCAGGACCCAGGCTGGCGGTGGTGGGTGGTGCGGTGTACTCGGCTGTGGGTTTGGGATCTCGACATCCAACTCGATGCTGCAGCCATCAGTGGGATGGCCAAGGCATAGTTATTAACTCATAATGTGTCTGTGTCAGGAGAGACTTTAGCTGTGTTTTTACCTAGAAGTGCCCGTTCACATTTGATGTACGTCCCTATTGGAGAGCTGTCATAGTTCACAGCTATCGATAAGCATTTAGCAGACAGCTAAGTTGCAGCGGTGCAGTTTAATAATTTAATCTTGCGTATTTTCTAGTATTGCTGAAATGCCTTTACGCGGTCCCATGAACTTCCCCGGTGGATGCTCAGCCACGGGGGCTGCACTGGCAGCTTTAGCAGCATTTGGGTTGGGGTCCTGGTTGTTGGATCACTCCTCTGATTTCTTCCTTTGCTCCCTACAGGTGTACATTATCAAAGTCACCTGGTCCAATGGGTCCACAGAAGTCATATACCGACGGTACAGCAAGTTCTTTGACCTGCAGGTAAGCGTTTCGCCAGTTCTTGGGGTTTTGACTTAAGAGGCTTGAAAGCTGCGATTAGTAGAGGAGCATGGTTTCTGCCTTGCGTTTTTGTAATCTACCAGAAAATGTTTGGATCTGAGGAAACTTAAATGCAATTTTGGACATCCTTGAAAAAAGCAAGAACAGACAACCTCAAAAGCTGGACTCTTCGCTCCAGTGCCTCTTGGGGCTTTTGCATGTCGCACTGTTAGAGCTTTGCTGTCACTCCCTGGGCTAAATGCACGCAGGACTGCATAAGTGTGTTTGAATTCCTCCATCAGAAATCTGTGCAAGTGGTGGGGTTCTTGCGGCAGTTTTTTGTTTTCTTTGGGGGGGATTTTGTTAAAGTTAGGCCCAAATTCCATTCCTGCGGAGCTTATACCGTGCCTTTCCCAGCTGCTATCACAGCAAAACAGGACTGCTGCTGAAAAACACTGATTCGCTGGGTCCATGTCCCACTGGCTGGTGTTTCGGGGAGCGGGCGCTGGGGAAATGCCTGCTGCCCGGTGCGGTGCACTGCCAGCCCGGAGGGCAGCTGACAGCAGCTGCTTTAGCAATTACCTCCTGGTGCAGGGGGAGCCGGGAAGAAAATGGAGCTGAGAGGGAGGGAGGAGGCTGGAAAGGCAATTGGGACAGGCTGGGTTGCAGAAAACCGAAGCCGGTGTTCTGGGCGAGCAGGCAAAGGGTGTTTTCCACCCCCTCCTTGGTGGAGATGAGCCAAGGGGTCTGGCTGAGCTTTATGAGCCAAAACACAAACTGAGCTGCTGGAACAAGCTCTGTGCAGATGAGAAAGGAAAATGCATGAAGTGATCTATGGACCAGCAGCAGCTGCCAGGAGAGTCGCTGGCAGATCCCTGCTGGCCTGGGCGCAGGACTGGGAGAGGAGCTGGGCACGCTCTGCCTCCAGCAACCCACTCACGTGAAGGTGAGCGTCGCTATGTGCTTTATTTGAACAAGTCCTGTGGTTGCCCGGGAATGAGGATGTCTTTCCTGAAATCGCTGCATCCAGACACAAATACGCTGCTAAAATTACAGTGCATCTGGGCCTGCCTAGCAGAGCAAACCCAGTGGGAACCCAGATGGCTTTCCCAGGTTCAGCTGGTCATCTGGCTTCAGGTCAGCCTGCGAAGCCTGGGACACTGCGAGACAGCTGCTCGCATTGATGGTGCCCTGTCCCTTGCCCATCAAGGCACCTTCCGCAGAGCCGCGGAGACGTGGCCATGCGTGTGACCACATTGAGAAAGCCCTGGCCAGGCAGCCATAGCCTGGCTTTGGCAAGACTCTGGGTGTCCTCACCCTGCCCCATGCTGCTGTCCTGCAGCATTGTGCCAGGCAAGGTAGGGTGCCCCGGGTGGCTGCTCGTGCAGGCAGGGGTTAAGCTGTGTGCAGCTGCTTGTGTAACCAAGGAAATATTAAAGAAAATAAACAGGGAACAGCTGTTGGGCAGCAGCCAGGGCTGGAAGGAAATGAAGCTCAGCACTTCCTTCTCTGCAGCATCTTGTCTTCGCTGGTGCTCCACGGTAGTGGCCAAGCTCACGCTGTCATTTGCTGCATGGTGGGCACAGTCTTTTGGGGTTTATGTGTGATAAACCGGTGCCTCCTGCTGTGCTGTTTCCCTGGGCTGCCTTGCTCCTTGTGGGGAGGGATGTGTATGGAAATAGTGGCCATCCTTCCTTTCTTCTCCCCCTTCCATCTTGGCTGGAGCTGTGCATGCTCCTAGGTGGAAAGTGTTGTCACTAGAGGCTGTCTGGAGCCAGAGACACAAACTGGCTCTGCAAAACACCCTGGAGCACCTTTAGAGGCAGGGGTGCTTTATATATATGTGTGTGTACATATATATATGTATCTCATGGTGCAGATGAGAAAGTTTAAAGCAAACATCTCCCCCCTTCCCTGTTCCCCGCAGCTTTTTCTTGAGAGAAGAAAAAAAAAAAATAACCACTCCTTTTTGGCTCTGTTGAAAGAATGAATGAAATTGTGGTTTTTCCCTTCCTTCCCCCTTATCACACATGCTTCCTGGTGTCCTTATTTTAAACTTGTGGTGCAGTACAGTGGAAATTGGATTGAAAGGCGAGGAGTGAAACAGATCCTCTTAGCACAGTGGAAAAAAATGCTCTAGGTAGGCTTGGTAGCACTGACTGTTGCCGTTGCTGGAGGCCTTTATTATATGACTGTTGGATGATTCTATGCCAATTTTAGCTCTTTAGGCAGAAATTTTCCATGCTGGAAAATATTCATGCCTCTGATTATTAAAAAAAAAAATATTCCAAACACAAAACCACCCACAAAATAACTGATTGGCTAAAATGGTTCGACTGCTTCTGAAAACGTAGTAAGAGGGAAAAATATTTTGCCCAGGTCCAGTTCTGATGATCTTTTTGATGCGTTGGAGGAAGAATTGGAAACTTGAGTCGCAGGTGATCCCTGTGTCAAGAATCTGTCTTTCATGTTATCCAGTGAAAATCCAGCCAAATTTATTCATACTTCAGACCTTGAGCAATCACAGTACATGCATGTTTGGGTAGAGATATTTGTTAATTTAATATCTGTGTTCCCAGTGATTCTGGCTGCACTTTCCATGCTCCTGCCAGCAGCTGAGCAAGGTTTTGTTTTTTCAATAGCAGCTCTGGCCACATTGGGGTGAAGGTTGGTGCACCCTCTCTTGCTGTCAGTGACCCTCCTGCTAGGCCCAGGCAGGAGGACAAGGAAGCCATTTGATCCAAGTAGGAGAGAGGAGAAGAACTTCTTGGGGCAGGAGTGAGGGCCGGTGGGGACCAGGGTGGGGGCTGACGTGATGCTGCGGTTCTGAGCAGCCCGGGCACGGTCGTGTGAGTGGTTGAGGATTTTCTCTGGATATTCCCTGTGGGGCCACAGCTGAATTGCTTGTCACCTTCCATTGTGGCCAAACAATTATTTTAGGAGTAGGGCCAAGTAAAACACATGCACACTTACTACTGACAGCCTCGCCGGCTAGCCCGCTCCCACTGCAACCGGAGAGCAAAGTGTCCTTCCCTCCCCAGCCAGGCAGGAATGACACTCAAAACACAAACTGCCAGCTCAGCTGAAACAGGGGTGAAGCCTGGAGTCTGCCCAGTGCTGGTCTCTGCCTCTGGGTGTAGAGACATTAGACCAGCCGCATTCCCCGTACTGGAACGGGGAATGTCGAAAGCTACCTTGCTGATCGCAGCAATGCTGCAGGCTGCACCGTCATCAGCTGGGAACACTCAAGGTTTTGTCTGAATACTGTGAACTTCAAGAGCTCTTCCCTTTGGCTGTCATTGATAACACAAGACTGGTCCTCTTCTGCAAAAGTCCTGCTTTACACCTCATCGCTGTAGTAGCCTTTCCAAGAACCATCCTGCTTTTCTCTTCCAAGGGTGGCAAGACCTCCTCTCTTTGCCTAATTATCCATTTTCATTCCTTTGCCACACCATGGGCCATCAGCTGGTCGTGCAGAAGATGGTCACCTCCTTTCTAGGGTCAGTGACCAACTCTCATTCTGCAATTCTGCCTATGTGTCCCAGCATGAGGCACAGACTGCTTCCTCCTGGTCCCAATCCAGCGTTTTGAGCAGATGAAGTGGTGACCCTCATCCCTTGGGAAGTGTGCAGGTCATACCCTTTCCTGCTCTGGGGTCATCACAGGAAGGCTTGGCATACCGTGCCAGGTGGTCAAAGTGGGAAGGGAGTGCTTAAGCTGAGGGATACCTCCACCTCCTATACACTGCTCATTGCAGGAGGAAACCTTCAGTGACCTGGGCAGTGCTCAGGAGCATTTTTGCTGTGTAGATCCTCTGTGCTCAGGTTCCTGCCTCCTCTCCTCCTTGCTTTCTCCACAAACATTTTCTGTCGCATGGTAGTTTACATAAAAGCAACTTTGTAGGGATTAAAAAACAAACCCTAGATGAAATTGTAATTCTGAAGTTTGAAACCTGAGGTAACTGTATGATTTGTAGCAAATTGATAACTACAAATACTAAACTCACTTCTCCATGAATCTCTTGGCTAGAGGAATAATTTCCTTCGAATAGGATTGAGGGTCTTTCGTAACTCTCAGTATGCCAGATGTGAGCTACTGGGAGCAGATGGATGCTGTTCCCGAGAAATACAGGCAGTAAGATTGATGTTTGCATGGATGCCAGTTATATTCTGGACACTAATTGGGGCTGGCAGGTACGCTGGAAATGTTAGCTGGCATGGAAGTTGGTAATCAGATATGTGAGCGGCTGTCTCTGGTGAACAGAGATAGAGGATCAGGGTCTTGCACGCCTGAGAGATGCTTCCAGCCGTGCCGGTGGGGGAAGAGCCATGCAGTGACTGCAGGGTTCTGTTGGATCACGTTGGATGCATTGCCCAGGAGGAGTTTAACACGTCTTTTGGAAGGATCCTCTTGAAACGGTTGGCCGTAAGGAGCCACACTGTTGGTTAGAAAACAGATACTGGCTTGTATTTTGTGTTTTTTATGGAAACCCCAAAAAAGAAACATTTTTTCCCCACTCTGTAATTATGAGCTCATCAACCACAATGGTAGTCATTTCAAGTCTTCCTGTGACCAAGAGCCACTGTTGTCTTGCCACACTCTTAAAATGTCCTTACACCTAAACCTGACCCTTTTGCACCTTTCCTGCTATTACCAGACCCCCGTGCTTCCCCCGGGGCAGAAGCGCCGCTTCACGTCCTTGGCTGCCTCTGCCTGTCAACTGCAGCCACCCTCTCCTCGACCAGGAGTCTTTGCCTGGCTCTCTTCAGTCCTGTCTTATTTTGCTTCCTGGACAGCAAAGCTCACGAGCTGCTTGCGAGCCGTGATGGAGCCGGGTCTCACACCCCCCACCTTGGAGCAGGCTTTGCCGGTCATGCCGTGCCCTGCCTTCTCACCACCAAAGCAGTAGCTTCTCCTCTGGCAGGCAGCTGCAAGCCCTTAAAAATCAAATTGGCATTCAGAGTTGCCCTTCCTGGGGACAGGTTATCCCAGGGCTTTTCCCT